TAGGGTTACACTTCGGGATTTCTCTTTGTTAGAAATTCTTTGTTATACAATAAAAAATAATTAATTCTTCTCCTCTTTCTTTTCAGGTTTTTCTTCTTGTTGTTGATTTTGACTTTGGCTTTGTCCTTCTCGTTCTGCGGCCATCTATATATAATAAAATAAATTAATAAAATACTTATATAATGTTATTAAAATTTTAATAAATTTTAATAAATTTTTACATACTTTTTTATATGCCATTTCGAATAATTTGAGACTCGCTTGTTGTAATTCGTTTGTTTGTCTTTTAATTTCTTCTGGTTCTGTGTCATCTTTTTTAGCTAATGTTCCTCGCATTTTGCCAACCAAGTCCCTGAGTTTATCACACTATAAATAATTAATAAATAAATATTATGACAATAAAATCAAATTACTATAGTATAAATATCATAGAATATAATATGATATATGATAGAATAATGATTTTATATAATACTCATTATACATATTCTTACTTCATCTTGTGGTAATTGTGCTTTAAATTCTTCTAATTTAGATTCCGTATCGTGAATAATTCCTTCAGCTTGATTCACAGCTTCAACTCTTTCTTTTTTTATTTTATCTTGTTTAGCATATTGTTCTGCATTTTTCACCATATTTTCAATTTCATCTTTACTAAGACCACCACTTGATTGAATAACAACTATAAATAGAAATTTAAAAGTAAATTAAATAAATCAATTTTGTTAATGTATATATAAATTATATTAATCTATTTGTAACTAAAAAAATATTGTAATTAATTTACACGTTTACATACTTTGTTGTTCTTTTCCAGTTCCTTTATCTCTAGCAGACACATGAACAATGCCATTAGCATCAATATCAAATGTGACTTCTATTTGTGGCACACCTCTAGGTGCAGGTGGAATTCCAACAAGAGTAAATTGTCCTAAAAGTTTATTATCGCTAGCCATTTCCCGTTCACCCTGATGTACTTTAATTTCTACTTGAGTCTGACCATCAGCAGCTGTAGAAAACACTTGACTTTTTTTGGTGGGAATAGTTGTATTTCGAGAAATTAATCGTGTGAATACTCCACCCAATGTTTCAATTCCTAAAAAATTTAAATATTAAATTTTAAAAATTCTCTAATATATCTAAGATAATAAATATTTATAAAAATTCAGTAGATTATAGTTTTCATTTTGATCAGAGAGAAGATTAGTTCTAACAATCATCATAGTCTAGAAATAATTTTAATTAAAAATATAAAAAAAAAATAGTAGATGTAAATACCAAGTGACAAAGGTGTAACATCCAAAAGAAGAACATCCGTAACATCTCCAGCAAGAACACCACCTTGAACTGCAGCACCTACAGCTACAGCTTCATCAGGATTTACAGCTTTTGATGGTTGTCGACCAAAAATTTCTTGTACAGTTTGTTGAACTTTTGGTACTCTTGTCATACCACCAACCAATAATACTTCACCAATATCAGATCTTGTTACTTCAGCATCAGAAAGTGCCTTTTGACATGGCTGAATAGTACGTTTAATTAAATCAGCAACAAGATTTTCAAATTTACTTCTTGAAAGCTTAAGATTTAAATGTTTCGGCCCACTAGAATCCATAGTTAAATAAGGCAAATTTATATCAGTTTGCAAAGAACTAGACAATTCAATCTTTGCTTTTTCAGCAGCTTCTTTCAATCGTTGCATGGCCATTGCATCTTTAGTTACATCTATACCTTGCTATACAAAGAATAAAAATAGTATTGAAATATCATATATAATAGTACATAAAAATATATGTGATACATATATAAATAGCATGAATTATTGCAATATACATACATCTTTTTTAAATTCTGATACAAGGTGATTAACCAATGCATTATCAAAGTCTTCTCCTCCTAAGAAAGTATCTCCATTTGTAGATTTAACCTCAAAAACTCCTTTCTGAATTTCCAAAATTGAAATATCAAAAGTTCCACCTCCTAAATCATATACTGCAATACTGAAATATATATCATCTATATAAAATATGGTTCTTTTATTAAATGATATTCAAAAATGTCATTAAATTAATCAGTAAATAATTTCAGCATATATAATATATAACTCTAAGAGACGAAAAATAATAGCATCATTTTTTTTTTATGTATTTCATAAATAGATTAATATATTTAATACATAATTAAAAATATTGAAATTCTTACATTCTATCTTCTGTTTTGTCCATGCCATATGCAAGAGCAGCTGCTGTTGGTTCATTAATTACTCTAAGTACATTAAGTCCAGCAATTTGACCAGCATCTTTAGTAGCTTGTCTTTGAGAATCATTGAAGTATGCAGGAACAGTAATTACTGCATTTTTTACTGATGTATTTAAATATGATTCTGCTGTTTCTTTCATTTTCATGAGTACAAATGCACCAATTTGACTAGGAGAATACATTTTACTATCACCTCCTTGTACCCATGCATCTCCATTAGAGGCACGGACAATTTTGTAAGATACACTTTTCCTAAAATTACAAATTATAAATTTATTTAAAAAAGAAATATTTAATTTATTAACATATATGTATGTAAAGTACATACATATCTTTTTTTACTTCAGGATCATCGAATCTTCGTCCAATTAGTCGTTTTGTAGCATAAAATGTGTTTGATGAATTAGTAACTGCTTGACGTTTAGCTGGCATACCAACTAAACGTTCTCCTTCTAAAAAAGATTAAAAAAAAAAAAAAAAAAGAATAATAAATCATTTCTAAATCCATTTTAGTGAATTCATTTTTATAATTTTTCTTACATTTTTCTTGTTATTCTTAAATACATATAATTTAGAAACATACTTCCAAATTTAAAAACAATTATCTTAATAAAAAAAATTGAAAAAAATATAAAAATTATTATACTTAAAATATAGAAAAACTATGTAACAATACAGAAAGATTTGTCATTCACCCTTTTGTAACAATTATTTAATACATATAGAAAAAAATTTTCTAATTATGTAACATAGTGAAAATATATAATATATAATATAGTTTCTAACCTTTACTAAATGCTACATAAGATGGAGTCGTTCGTGATCCTTCTGCATTTTCTATAACTTTAGGTTGTTTTCCTTCCATAACTGCTACACATGAAAATGTTGTTCCTAGATCAATACCAATGACTGCTCCTTTTACACCTTCAGATCTGAATAAATAATACACTTACTTTTAAACATAATTTAACAAGATAATTTATATTATATTAATAGTAAAATATACAATTATATATATATAAAACTAATTTAAATATATAAATTTATCATAACATGATTTAACTATTGTAATTAATTTACTTGTATCTATATTGTTGCAAATCTGTAAATCGTTGGGGCATGTTCAAAGTAGGAGCCACAACCTGAAAAACATTAAATTTATATTAAGATTGTTGTATTTAATATACAATTGTTGTACTAATATACTGTAATAGTAATTATAACGTAAAAAAAATCTACTATAATAATAGTATCATAGAGTAATAAAAAGATACAAATATAATAATTATCAATAATGTTACATCTTTTTGTAATCAATTTAAAATATATAAATATTATATTGAAGATAGATCACGTGCCGGTAATGTTTAAGTTTTAATAGAAAGGATATTTAAGTACACAAAGTGTTGACGAAATAAAAATAAATATATTACAATAAACTTATTCTTATGATATAGTGAATTATCATTAACATTGTATAAAGTAAATACAAAGAAAAAATGTTCGATAAATGAAATTGAAACGGCGTGTCGTACAAATCGCCATCGGAACTTACATTTTTAAGAATTGTGCTGAATTGTTGTTTTCTAGTAATATCGCAGGTTATATTGCTACAACTACGAGTTAATAATCTTGCAGCAGTCAGCATCTTGATTTTATACGTTTTTATCGCTTAAATTTATGAAAAACTTAAAAAGAGACGCGAATACTCTAACTTCACGTGTAGTGATGCAACCTTCACAGAGACTAATAATGCGCACACCATGCGCGCAATAGAACTCCTTCCATTTCGTCAACCAATAAAGATAATATTATTTAACCAATGGGAATTCAGTTCTTAATGGATACACGAATCACTGTATTGCATGGCCTTCCTGCTCTTAGTTACTCGAGAAATCGAGAATTATCTATCCCGAATATTCTACTAGAATATAGATGTCGTAATCATTAATCGGACAAATAATAAAAAATTGAAATCAAAAAAATGAAATAAATAGTTTATATAATAATTTTAATTATTGTTAATGTAATATTATCTATTTATTATATAAATGAAAAGATATAGTTGTTCAAAGATTAAGTTTGTATATGAAGATGTTGCGAAGATATTACGATTACTTCCGGAATTTAAAAAATGATGTAAAAAGATAACGGTATTACATAATTCAAAATTATAAAATAATAATTTATTCAGTATTAACAAGGAATATAACCAGGTATGAAAAATATTATTTTATTTAAATTAAGTTATTTAAACTATTTTAATAACGAAAAATAGAAAAGGTTAATATGTATTTATTACTTATTATTTATTACTTATTCATTATGATATATGAAGATTTTTTATAAATGAAAAAATTTCATCATAATAGAATTACTTTGTATTATTCTCTTTTAAATGTTAATTAGTTAAAACAATTTTTTTATAATTGCTTTTTATTTAGCTAGAACTATTTTGCTAAATAAGTAGTTTTTTTTTTATATCAATAATGTTAATTTTGATGCACAAATTTTAAATAATATTATATAATATCATGTTATAATATATACTATTATATTCTAAAATCATTAATTGTAGTTTGTGAAAATAAATTAAATTTAGAAAAGTATATACATAAAAAAATAGACAAGATATTATATCATTTATTTCATTAAATAATCTCTCTGAAATTAATAAATTCATAATTCTAAGTTGATATTTTTCTTTCATAATATTATTATAGAGTTCAATTCATAACTATTTATATTTTTATAATGTTTGAATTTGAATTTTATATAATTTTTTAGCAATTATTATTTATTAATCTATCGATTAAAAATATAAAGATATTTAATGTTTTAAACTTATATACAAAAAAAAATAAGTATTTCTATTTTATTAAATGATACATTTTTAAAATACAATTACTTTTGTTGTATATATATATATTACAAATATGAAAAATATTAAATACGAACTTACACAAAAGGTATAGAACGTATTGATATAATTGAGTAAATAGTTCTTACAAACTATATTAATAATGTATTTCATTTATATTTATTAATTTTCAATTAAAAAAAAATTGTAACTTAGCAAGAAAAAAAAAATAAATTATATAAATTTATACCTTCTATGTAAGGAACAATATTGATTAACATAATTGATAGTATTTTTTATTTATAACAATTAAATAAAATTTGTTATCTACAATTACAAATAGCAAAAAATTATGAATTTTTTTCTTTCCAAAGTGAAAGATTTGGTGATCCATTTTTATGTATTGTACAATTTATTAATTCATTTCTGAAAATTTAAATCATTTATTTTTTATTTATGTGATAAATAATTATTAATATTTTAAACATTTATTCATATAAGATATCTAACTTACAAAAATCGATCTTTTAAAAGAAATGCTCTTGGTTGTATCAAACTCAGTCTTTCACCATTGTAGCATAAAATTTGTGTCATTGTGATTTTTCGGATTTCATCTAATTGATTCGAGGTAAATGATCCTGGGCTGTTTGCATTTTCATACCAATATCTGTCACCTATATTATAATATTATAATCAATGAAAAAATACACTAATCAAAATTAATAGATAAATAAATTAATAAATTATACTAAGCATCGATTCTAAACATTGAAATAAACAAAAATATTAGAGGTTATTTTTCAAGTTATAAACAATTTGATCTTACATTAGACATGGAATGATAATAATACAATTAAATTCATTTATAATTTGAAAAGTAATTTTTAATCTATATTTTTGCATATTAATTTTTTCATTTGTTTCAAGATTCTATAAAGAATCTTTCAAAAGGGTTTCATATTTCTATAAACACTCTATATAATATCGATGTGATGTAGCTTTACGTACTTTTATGATTAAACATGGATATCGATAATACTTACCAAAACGAATATTTCGAAAAGTACGACCCAATAAACAAAGAAATGTTGGTCCTAAAACTGAATCGGGTAACGGTGCTTCCGAAAGCAATGCTGTCACTAAATCTATATCCTCTACTTTTCTGTGAATTAAAAAAAAAATACAAATAATATAATACAATACAAAATTTATTAATAAGACAAATTATAAAATCAAAATATAAAATTATAAATTGAAATATTCAAGATTAAAAAAATTGCAATAATTAAGCGTTTTTGTATGTTCAATTTTATATTAATATTATAAAAAATAAAATCTACAATTAGCAATTATTATTCACTTACTTATAAACTTTTCGAAGTCTGTCTATAGTATTTTTAGACATTGTACCTCTAAGATCTTCGAAACTAATGATATGAGGTAAATTGCAAAATGATCGCCATCTAACATAAGGTGGTAAACCGTGGTCTCTTCCTTGTTGTATGATTTGTGCAGCGTAATCCACGGCGATATCGTTGCTTTTTCCATCGTGAAAATATCTTTCCAAAAGGATTTCATTCAGTCCCGGTGGCAATGGCTTCCTAGAATGTCCCGCTGTCGCGAAAATTAAATCTTGCATCCTAGATTGTCATTAAAACCAAGTTCTCATGGGACACCATGTTAGCGTAACAATATTTAAAAAAATTTTTATCCAAATTTCACATGTTCATTTTTGGTAAATCATTTTTTTTTTAAAATACTATTTTTTTTAATAATAATTTAAGAATTAATCGATCTTTTTGTTCTCTCTAATAATAATTTCTTTATATTTAAATAATAAATACAAAGAAATACAAATCGAATCTGAATGTTAAATGTCAAATGATTCTAAAATTAACAATTTATGAATCTATAAAGATCGCGCAACATTTTACTATTACATTTCATAATTGTTATAAGATTTGAAAGATTGCAACAAAAATTTAAAGCAAACATTTGTACAAACGATTCTTCGAAATCAAATAATTATAAATCAAATGATTTATTTGAGATAATGGCATTTTACGGCATTAATGCCTTCAAGTTAAATCATACGAAATGATTATATAATACTATCTAAATATATTTTCTACATATTTTCTACATATTCTCTTATAAAATGCGAGTTTAAGGAAATTTTTTACTGAAATTATATTTACACATAATATTTCAACTGACCTGTAGCGCCGACAATCAAGCGATCAATAGCACCAGCTTCATAGAACTCTTGCGGAGCGTAGAAGGCCGATAGTAAGGACCTTTCTCCAGACTTTGACGCCGATCGCGAGTCAACTAGGTCGAGGGTTTTTGGGGTCAACGTGGCAATGAAGAAGAGTCCAGCAGACGCGACAGCGTTCGAAAGTGTCGCATCCGTTCGACTATCGTAGTTTCGAAAATAGCCTCGATGCGTTAAGCGTAATTGGTATCTTTCGATATTAAAAAAAAAAAATAAAATTTACATAAATTAAACATAAATTAAAACATTAACGAAATAACGAATTGTTAATATAGAATTGGTTACAAATTTCGTTACACCGATCTATCGAACGATTGGAATTATTACGTCGAATTAATTATAAAGCGAATATAGAAGAGAAATACGTACTTGTCGAGAGTTGTTTCGCCGAGAACAACGGGTAGAAACTCGTTATAAGTTATATGCTCCATTTCCGCGATAACGATCCTTCTTGCTTCCTGATAGAGCCTCTCATCTTCCCAGTGAGGATTCAGTTGTCCCAGGGCAGTAGCGACTCGATTATGTTCACGTAGAAAAAGTACATGCATTAGAGTGAGACCAGGGTTCTCGTTTACCCGCGAATCCCCGCTAAGAAAACACGGGAAAGCTTTGTTCGCGCTTCTGCAACTTTCGTACTTGGGCGAAGGCATGGGCAAGTTCTTCCTTTGCGTATTAAGCAAACCGCCTTTGCCGGATCGGAGAGCTTTCGCTACGTCTTCGGAACTGCCGTAAAGAGGGGAAAGATCCAAATACGACGACGCTTGGTTGATCTGCTGTCGAGGACCCAATTTGCATCCCTGTAACGTGTTACATAAATTTTTAAGAATCAAACTCTCTCTTCGAAAATAATAATAACTTTCTCAACTCTGTGAATTACCTCGTTTACTTCAACGCGAGACGCGTAGACAGTTTCGTAAGAATTGTTGCAAAACGGATTTTACTCGCACGGTTATGCATTTCTATTATTCTTCGACAATTTACCTGTAACGAATTTCCTGGGTGCGGCGCCGATCTAGAATATTCCATGCAACCGACAGCGTTATCGGCACGAATCGGGAAGCATTCCGGATGAAAGTGTTCGTAATCCACGTCGCAACACTTCAATTTCGCTCCGTCGGGCAGTTCCATCTTGGGCGTGTGCGCAAGATCGTGGACAAGAAATTGGCCGAAGAGTGCAGTGAGCGCCATTAAGTAGGGATGCTTGAGGTCGGATCCACCTGAATGCACGTTTAACGAGACATCTCTGGCGCTTGGCAAGTCTATACGCGGTAAAGAGACGCCGTCCACGTATTCAGGCGGCAAGAATCGGACGTAAGCTTCCAGGGCGGCGCCCCAAGTCGGATGTAAACCGTTATTGCATTTCCCGCTGTGCGTCCTGTAGCGAGGATCGATCTTCTTGCAACTGGCCATCACTTGCAAAAACGTAGGTGAATCGGGACAATTGATGGGGGCAACCGATGGCAACACGGATGTCGCCTCTTTCGACGACATGTTCAAAGCCTCCACCAACATCACGGCCATCGTTTCTATTCGTAGGGCTCGCCTCGACAGATTTTGAGCGTGCTCGGTTATCTCGTGCGACGCCCCAAGGAACCACGAGGGTGAGCCGTGATTTAAATGCGTGCGCGAGTTCAGGATCGCTCGTTCCGCCTGCTCGTATTTCTCCATAGAGATATTCGTACGTCTACCCAGATCCAGTAACATGTTTGATGGTAAAGTAGTACCGTCCACGAGTACAGATGTAGTGAGGAATCTGCGAATCGGAATCTAAAGATAAGAAATATAAGCTTGCCCCTACGTAAAAGCACAAGCCTGTTTCGTTCGAATTCATAAATTATATATTTCTAAAGAGAGTGAAAACAATGTTGAAGAGAGAAAGAGAGAGAGAGAGAGAGAAAAGAAAGAAATAAAACATTAGAGTATTAACATTGTGAGAATGTAACGTTGTGAGAACGTGATGAAAATACTATGATAACGTTACACTTTCCAGTTGGGATGAATTCGTGAGAAATTGTTTAATAACTTGTATTATACCTTGATGTTACCTAATAATTGTCATATAAATTCAAAAGTTCTCTTATTATTTATCTTGCCAATTACACGATAAGATCAATCATTAAATCGCAATTACATTAGTTGTTTCTATATTTGTATATTTGCAACTGAAATGGAGTGTGCAATTAAACACGTAACTTTTCGCAACGTACGATTTCCCGTTAAGTCAATCTCTTCGTTATAAATAAAAAAAAAAAAAAAGAAAAAGGAAAAACGAGTTTACGAAGTATCGCGTGACTTATTCCAACATTCGTTACAGGTACTGCAATGAACCCGAGAGACCTTGTCTTGAAGATGGCATTTCGCCTCATTCCGTATGGCCTATTGTTCGTCGTCCCATTTATCGCGTTAAATTCATTCATCGTTTCTCTTATATCTCGAAGCCAAGTCTCAAGTGGTTAATTACTTTTTTTTATCATGTTAATGCGATACAGAGAACGAAAAGAATTCGATCGACCTTAAGAAAAGATCGAAGAAGATTCGTTACTTGACATTTAAGTTTCTTCCTGGTTCTTTTGTGATTTTCTTACGTAATCTTCTCCACTCCCATGATTAGTGTTCGTATAAATTGGTATTATTCGAGGAAGCTATTATTCGAGAGCGTGATTCGAAGAAATTTTTAATTCGAAAAAACTTTTTTTAAATTTTTACTCTCTATCCGCTAAAAGCAAATTCGAATTAAATCTTTGGATAAAAAGAATTGTCCAATATTTATACAAATTGGAACGTAATGTTATTTTATTTTTTATTTTATATCTATGAATGAAAAAAATCGAAGTAAATACATCAAAATAATAATAAAATTGAAGTTTTTAAATGAAAATATACGATTCTCTTTTGATTTTCATTATTTCAAATAAATGATGTTTTGTTAACTACTTTTTATGAAATTTTATTTGATGATGTAGTGTAGAAGTCATTTAACACAAAAACTTTGATTTTGTAAGATATGTAATTAAAATTATTAATTTTCTGATACATTGGATGCATTCATAAGTTCATTTTACATCGTATTTTATATAAAATACACAGTTTCTTGCATATACATTTACAATTCTTCTTAGTAAAAATATTTACAAATTTAAATCTGATGCACATTCAAAATGTTATAAATATTATTACATTGTTTTATGCAAAAGATTTCATTAATATTATATATATACTATCTAATTAATTTTTTCAACGTTCAGAATTTATATTAAAAATAAATACAAGCACATGGCCTTTTCCTTTTACTATTGTAGTAAAATTACATCATTAATTAAATGTTGAAATAATTCTATAAAATAGAAGGTATTTATTTGAATTATAAAATATTTGCTTAAAAAACCTTTCAAAACTAAATGCTGTAATTTTTATCACAAAAATAAATCACTATGAATAGTGATGTTTTCCTATTGTACACATGAAGTTACATTTCATCAAATTTACTCATTGACAAGCAACGTAACGTTATTAATCGATATTCTAATATTTTTGATAATATTTCTTTTTCTCGGTAAAATATTTATTTTTAGTCCATAATAATGATTGATAATTGATACAAGGATAAGATTTTAAAGATATAACTATGCATATTTTTAATTTTGACGTTATCTTTAAAATGTAAATGAAAAAATCGTTTCTAAATATTGAATGTATCAAATGTTAATTTTATAGATGAAATAACTTCAAATTTCACTAGAATCACTGTATGCCAGTGAAGTGGCCGCGTTTCGTTTTATCCCGTAAAATGAAAACGCAAAACACTCACCGCGATAGGAAGAGAAATATAGCGTTGATCGATCTTCGTCTTATGCACACGGACATTTTTTTCAAAACCATCCCAGTGTGATAATAATTGATAAAATTCATTTGCCTCGTAAAATTTCGCAAGAGCCGCGCCGGGTATGCGCAAGAACACGAAGCGGTAAACCTGAACTGAGACCGATCCTCGAACGAAAGTAAAACTTCAGTCCGTTCAGTGGGTTCAAAGAGTGGGGCCAAGTAAGGATCATGTTAATATAGGGTGTCAACGATGTATTGCTCGGTCGACGTATAACACTTGAAAGATATGGTAAAAGCGCATTGTCGTTGCAGCTGGATTGATATTATGAACAAGACCAAGGTTCACCTTTCATAGACTATGTTATTCGTAGTCGCGGTTGGACTACGTACAGTTTCAAGGCTCCAAAGTGCATTCACACTTTCGTATATATCGCATGCTGTATATATACATATGTTGCGTGTTCTTTTACAGCATACCTCGTGTATAGCCTCTCAATGCCGTTGCACTATGCTAATTGACACTTACAGGCTTGACTGTAATGTTACCTATAGATTGAAATTCTTGAACACGATGTTGCGAATGATTAACTGCGTTGGTTATACGGACTCGAACACACGCCTACAATCTGGATGCGGCAATCCACAAAAGGACTACGTGTCATGTGTGATTATTTATATTCAGCGTGGGCAGATAAACTAAAATAAATAAGTTTAAAGAATGAAATAATTTTACGAGAATTATTTGCGTAAAGATAATTATCCGTATACATTTTTTTTTTTTTTTACAAACGATCGAAGTTAATTATCTCGAAAATGATTGAAATTCAGGATTATATTTCTTATCGAATATTTTAATTTTATAAATATACGTTAAATGATATTGACACGTTAAAAAATATATAAGTAAATGATGTACTACAAACATAACTAATTCGAGTTTGGGAAAGTTTAGTTCTGAATTAAACGAATATATTATTTTTTATTTATTCTCATTTTATATATAAAAAGAATAAAATCCTTTTCAAGAGTTGATTTAACATTTCATGAAAAAAATATTATCTTGAATTGAATTTAATTTATAAAGTATAAATAATTTTGAGAATACAATTTTATATTTTGGATCCAGGGTATCTATAACTACTTAAAAATAAAACTGTCATTAGAGAGGCCTTGAGCACTTTTATTTTCGCTCTATGTGCCACTGCTTACATTATTCTATTTTTTTTTTTTTTTTACTATTGTTTGTTTCCACGATAATTACTCACTTAAAATGTATTGAAATTGTCTATCATTGCGTCCATATTAGCATTTATTGCTGAAATTACAGAATCCATTTTCAAGAACGGATATCATCTGTGTTATCAAGTACTGCTCCACTATAAGCTAAGTCCCAATAATGTTCAACTTGGTGTTTTTTAAAATGCTCTCGAGCCATTTTTTCAATTGGACAAACTTTAAATTTGATTTCTCCAAAATGACGTTGTTTGCTAGTACCTTCCCATACGAGAACACATTTGTTCGGTACATCATTTCCATCATTATCTTTTATAATATCTTCTTCCCATTTAATTCGATTCATCATTAACCGTTTATATTTACTTAATTGTTTTGCTCCTCCTTCTACAACAACAACATTACAGTCTCGGAAAAGCATTACACAGCCTGTGAGATAAAGTTGTTTTGCATTTGTTTCCACTTTAAATTTCTTTGAAGCGTTATTTAAAAGGTCACGTATTCTGTAATAACAATATCAATATTTTTTTTTACGTAATATAAATATATATTATATTTATTCATTTGTAATAAACTTACCTGTAAACAGCTACATGTACACCGAGTGTGGTATCTTCCTTAAGTTTTCGCGCTTTCTTTTCACGTCGCTGGTCGGCAGTAAGTCTTCGAGCTGCATTAGCATCTTCATGAGCTTTTAATCTTTTAGCCATTTGTTGTCGAACATGAGCTTCTATTTTCGTAGGATCTTGAACAGCTTCTGTACCTAACACTCGCATAAGATTCGAAATTCGTAATTTTGGTTCTGGAGGTGGTTCGAGACCTAATCGAATTTTTTCTTGTTCCTCTTTCCAAGCTTCTCGTCTATTTTGTCTTCGTAATTTTTTGCGTTCCTTTTTCGTTAAAAATACAGGCATATATATAGGTTTTAAAGGATCAGCTAAAATATAAAAAATAATTAATCAATATTATATAGATATTTTTATTATATAATTTATCCGAAATAAATTGTATACATGTATTAAAAAATACATACTTGGTGGTCGCATTTGCGTAGGATGTTCTACTAAATTTGTAATAGTGGAGCTTTTAATAGTTGTGGATTCATTTTCGTCTGGGTATCCTCCTGTTAATATAACAGAATCCCACCATTCTACGTTAGGCACATCTTCGCTTAGAGCTTCTGTTTTTGGAGCTATGAGCGCTAATTTAGTTGCTGAACTTATACCAGTCTTTCTAGCAATTTGACTAATTTCATTTTGTAACTTTTCTAACTGAGCTCTCATACGAATTCTTTCAGCTAATTGTTGGAACTTTCCAGGTTCATGAAATTTGAGAGTACGTTTGCCTCGTACCGCAGGTTTTACACCTATTCTAGTATCAAAAAAGTGTGTATCTTGAATTTCTTCTGGACCTTTTGATTCTTGTAATTGGGCTTTAAATTCTTCACGTTTTTTTGCTCTAATGTTAGCTTTTAATGTTGGCACTACTTGTGTTAATTGTACTTCTTTGCCTGTTATATCTACAGTTCTGCCAGATTCATCCAAAATTAGAGGAGTTGGTTTATCTGGAACACTGACATTACCTAATAGTCCTGAACTTAATTTACTTCTAATTTGAGCTTGCAAAGCAGCAATTTTTCGTGCTTTGTCGGAATCTGTTTTACTTAATAAACCCTGATTATACATGCTTCCTACAGTTGGTAAAGAATCTCTTTTAAGTAAAGGTTTTACCGGTGGAACCTCTTCTTGTTTTATAGTCTTTTAATGCTTCTTTTTCTTCTTCAATTTCTTTTTGGGCATTAGCCATCATTTGTCTTATCTAAATGAAAGCAATGCAATTAAAGTAATTAAAAATTTAATACTTATATTTATATTAATATGTAAAGTACCTTATCAGCAGATAACTGTGCTTCCGTTGTCTTTTCATTTTTGATTTCATCATCCCTAAATCTAGGTTTCTTGGCATCTTTGTCTTTATCTTTGTCTTCCACATGATTCCGTTTTTTACTTTTCTGAGCTGCTTTGGCATCATCATATATTGCAAATATTTTTTCAGTTAATTTTGAAGCTTTCTTATCTTCCAATAAAGCGGATAATTTATCTGCGAAATTAAAAAAATAACAAACATTTTCTATTTCATAAATTTAATAAATTTATATATAAAATTATATATTAAATTTCTAATTAATTATTTAAACAATATAATTAATCAATTCATAATATTAATTATCACAAACCTGCTGTTTTGCGTTTATCGTAACCTGAAGTAATACAATTGACAGCTGTAGTCACAATAGCAGGTTCCCCAAAACCAAGAAATTTATGAACTGCTTTTTCTATTTGTGGTTTCATTTCGTCTATTTCTTTTCTTGTTAAATAAGCCATTTTTATTACGATTGTTTCACAACATAACCTCTATAAATTATAAGGTTAAGTATCGCATTTTAGTTGCACTTCTATATGGGAACAATTATTTTATATTCCAAGAAGTACCAAAGATTCAGTTGTTTTAAAAAAGATTGTCATGAGTATTTTTGTTTATAAAACAATATTTTTTCCGAATTAGATATTGGCAATCATACTCAAATATTATCGACATCACATTGAAATACTGTAATTGTTATTTAGTAATATTTAGTTACTTACTAGGTTTTATATTCATAGTGATAATATCAATAATTTCCCTAGAATAAGCATGAAAATTCCTAGGACAGTTAAATAGTGGAAATTATGTATTATAGTAAATTTGGAAATTGGATATAATAAATTTTTGAAATGAGTTTTATTACTATTGTAGGAATTAAGGCAAATAAGTTGTAGATGCTGATTAAATATATATATATGTTACATTATTTATTAACAATTATTAATACATATATCGATACACTTTCCTGTTTAAAAAAATAAAAGAAAGGATTTTTCAGATCATTAACAATATTTTTTTCTTCTAAAATTTAACTATTATAAATATTTAGCTTTTGTTTAATTTATTTAAAAAAAATTAATTTAAAAAAAAGAACATCGATATTTGTAATAATTAATAAAAATAGAATTTTATTCAGTTCGTTAAATTAATAATAACAATAATTTAATATTATAATAATTATGAATATTTTGAAACAAGTAAATCACGCAAACTTCTGAAAATAGTTCTTTAAATATTGGAGATTTATTGCCGCAGAATACGCAGAAATTCTTAAAAATCATTAATAATGATTTTAAATATAAAATTCTATGACTAACTTTATATAAAACTAACAATGTAAATTCACAAATTAGGATAAATTTGATGATTTTGAAAAATTTTTGATTCTGTTGAAATTAATAATTATATTTGCATCATATTTATATTTATGAACGTAAATTATCAGTTGTTAAAAAAAGTTGTTAAAAAAAATGCGCACACCAATTTTTTCTAGAACATTCTACATATACATGACTTAAGAAACGAAAATTGTTTAATGTAAAAGTTCTACAATTTTAATTGAAAAACGTAGTAATAAAATTTAGAAAAGAACTATTATATATATAAAAGAAATCTAATGGTAAATCATGTTAAGCCAAGGACAAATTCAATAAGATTTATTGTTTCGCATAAACTTGTTCAACAAAATGTATGAAGGTGGTAGGGGATGAAGACAGCTTTGGAAAGTAGTGGAATAGCATTGGACCGACAACCGCAAATGAAAATGGTAGAGGGAACTATGCAGTTCCACGCTTCCTTGGTGACCGATGAGGCCAATTCTAGAAGACCACATTTGTTTCATTCGAAACTGTTGTCCTAAACTTTTCTGTTAATTGAAACGAAGAAATTGGAGTACTGGTATCTGTTGTTTTAGACTACTATCGAACGGAAATTTTACAAAAACTCTGGATGCAGTGTGGACAAATACACTCAAAAGGAATCGAGTCAACTTCACAGAAAAATACGTTGATTAAAGCTCTTTAAATAATCTTAGAAAAGCTTACTTGACTAGAAATCTATAAAGAGGATTGGTAATTTTAGTCGGTTTTTGCGATCAATAGAAATCAATCAATATCATTTATAAAATGTCCTGTGCTTAAGATGTTATGATGAAAGCATTGCAATATTCCAATTAAAAATTCTTAAAAATATATTTTCCTAAATGTAAAATAATTAAAGGGATTTTTATAATCATCCGTTACAATTGTTTTATTAGTTTCGTATACAGGCAATTTTATCAATACAATAAAATATCTGCTCTTATTCTTCTTCAATTTCTTGGGGATCGATGCGATAATCCGAAATCTTCGATACAAAGTCGTTAATTCTTCATTGAACAAGATCGAAACCAAAATTACCAATTAACTGTTTCATTCCACAGTTGTGTATATAAAACTTTTCTCATTGAATTTCATTCAGTAATTTATCTCGATAATCGACTTTTTTCGCTAGTGGTCCCGAAATAATACGTATTTCCATAGCGTACGCGACACGATACACCGGTGACAGTCCACTGTCCACGCGTATACCGGGACGCGTATCTAGACCTCTACTAAAATTCAGTCACAACGTATCGAGCCAGTCGTGTTTCTTCGTAAATTTAACGATTTTACCGTGGCAGACGTGGCCACGTCCTGAAATGATGTACGGTTCGCTCGTATGACTCGGTAGCTAATGCTTTAATATGCGCAAAGGGTGCCATGCCCGTGTCACGCGGATTACCGCTAATTGTAGTTTATGCTTTATACTACGCTATTCTCTTGTACGTTCTGTCGTCCGTTGGGTATTCGATATATATATATTATACATATATATACAAACCTGTATGTTTATTTGTATAGGTGTCTCCCCTATGAGTATACATCCATATAACAATTTGCGAGAACGCGCTCATTATGTATAAAGCTTGTACAAGTTTTAGTCGCTTTTAAATACAAATGTCATCGCTTGTAAAGATAAAAGCGAATTGGAGAATTGTATTCTTATACAGATGTATACTTGAAAGTTAATCATGATTTTTTAAATGATTCAGAATTACGTTCGAGATTTCTTTTTC